AGTACTATAATATATATCAATAAGTTAATTAAAAATAAGGTTACATTATGTTATTATATAAATTAATTAAAATTCATTACATTCATCTAACCATTAATTGACAAATTCTAGTGTTAAGATAATTTAATAATGATTAAATAACTAAAGTCAGTGAACAAAAATTGGGTTAGTACTTCAACAGAACATCATCAACACACACCAATATCCAGCAAAAGGAATAAACTTTACTACAAACATGCTCATCTATCTAAAACAGAAAACCTCAGGTTTAAGTGATAGAAAACAAAATAGAACAGCAAAATTAAAATTATTAAAGTTGGAACAGAATGTTTTTTAAAAGATCATTGAGTGGACAATTTGTGCATGTCAATTAGGTCATATTGCCAAAAGGAATCAGGCAAACTAAAACAGCACTGTCCAAGATTGAATCTGTTTCTTTGAAGTTAATCACTGTGCCTTGTATATTACATTTCAACTCTTTCTAGGTGTTTTATCTGTGACAGTTACATAACATGGTGTAAGAAGTGTGCTCTATTAAATTCTATATGGACAGCATATCTTGGCCATAGGTGGCAAGTGCCATATTAATGAGGCATTTCTTAAGGTTGTGTTGGTGCTCCTTAATCATTGTGCAGAGGCTCCTGGCAATAGCACCTATACAGAGATCTTAGATATTCTCACATAATATTTTGATGATTCAGATGAAAGATTTTCTTGAAACTTATAATAAATAATAAAATTTTTATTCTATAGTATAAGAGTATTCAATTATTTGACTAGAGTAGGGATGGCTTATGTTCCATATATGACATCTATGGTCTATATGCCAACTCCAACCTGAAAATATGTAATGTGGTCCAGTTGTTTTTCTTATTAATAAAATTAACTTTACCTGTGAACATGTATAAATGTTACAATAAATAACTCAAAAATTGTTTATGACAATTTTATTTTCCCAGCTGTTAAAGCATTTGTTTGCAGTAACATTTATTCCTTTCGTTGTGTATTGGTGTTGTGTTGTTATTTTATTAGATTAAATAACTAGTACAATCTCAGAATAAACAAGCAAATCAGGCTGAAATTTAATCATCAAAGATATACTATAACCTAAAAAGTAATTTTATATAGCAAAACATAAAACTACTTCATAGATTTTGAAGATTAGGATTTCTCAAAATCACTAAATAAATAGTAATTTTTTAAAATTTAAGCCTAATCTGTTTACTTACTTTTATTATAAGCAATGTAGTGTTGAAATTTGCTACTAAAATCATTTCATTTTTAATATAGTATATATTTTTACAAATAAAAAATTTCTTACTGCATGATCTAATTTAGCAGTTAATGTTATAAACCGAAGAAATAATTCACAGCCAGAACTGACAGTTGTTACTGATGAATCAGCAGTGGTAAGCACCTCGATTACTTTCAATAAATTCTCTCTCAATCCTAATAATGTTTCAGCTAAAAAAATATATATATATTTAAAATGTAAAAATAAATTTTCTAGTCTATATAAACAGCTGATTTTATCTAATTTAATTCATGAAATTTTTTATAAATTATCAAAAACATAAAATATTTAAAATTTAATATTCTCTTTTATGTTTAATATTTAAATCTAAAGATCAAACTTACAAGAATCTCTCTCCATAAATTCCATTAATGTTTTAAGTGCTGCAATTGCTGCTGATGAACTGGGATCGGTTTGTAAAATTTCATTGAAATAATTCAATATAGCTATAAAAACAAAGTAAAACACATTTAAATGACAATTTTTAAACAGACAAATGATTTTATTATAAATATTAGAAATTAATATTTTTGAAAATATTTGCTATTAAATCTTTTTTTAAATCTTAAATTTTAAAATTTTCATTATTTTTCTGTTAAAAAATTTTATTTGACTTCTTATTTCAATGTAAAAACTTTAAATATAGTTTGGAAAATGTTAAACTAAGAAAAATAAGTTTTGAAGAGCTAATGTTTTCCACAGACAATTTCCAAGTTATACAATAGATTCTGCTTAATTGGGTCACTGGGCAGCTGCTTAATTGGGCAGCTGTTTAACATCAAAATAAAGTTTAATATCCCCGCATTTCTTTATGCAGCGCTCAAGAAGCACTTTACAGCGAACACACTGAAACTAGTTTCTAATTGGTCAACACTGCTCGTGACGTCATTTCGGGAAGAAACCCGGGGTATCTGAGATTTGATTTTTTTCTTAAAGAAAGAAAAGCATTTACATGTAAATACCTTTTGTGTAACATTCCTACAGAAAAACACAGTTACAACAATACTTATAAAAACTGGTAGCCATAATCAATGACTATGAGACAGTAGCCTAACTAGAATCAATATTACAGGGCTAAAATTAGAACTTGCAAATCAACATTCCCCATACCACTATGGATGAAGAGAAAATTCTTAAGTATAGTATATATGTGTCAATGCATTTGTCATATTAATTATTTTTCCTGTACTTAACTGATTATTAGAAGCTAAGAGTGATCTGGGCCCTCTGGTTATGCTACTGGTGAGACTATATGCAAGTCAAATCTATAAGTTAATAAAACAAAAATTTTAACATAACAAGAATCTTCACAAGGTTGCAATGTTAAATCTCAACTTTGTTTCCTTATCACATTAACTAAAAATAAAGAAAAATGTCCAATATAGTTCAATCTGAATAATTACAAATATACAAATTTGCTAATCTTATTCAATATATTTTAACAATTTTCATTAAAATTTTCGGTTAATGTTCACCTAGGTAGCCCCAATGGCAGCACCTCTGTTATCAGAGCAACAATCATTTTCACTACTTTTTAGCAAAATTGGTGTTTTATTTCATATTTTTTACACAAGTCACACCACCCCCACAACTGTTGACCCTTCACATAATATTTGTCTCCGAAAATCATTTTAACACTATCCCCCATGCTTTGCATGTAGACATGCACTCAGTGCTCACTATCACTTGCACCTTAGCACCCAGGTGGGGGCACACCCCACACCCCCAAACTATATAACATCAAGTGCTCCATAAACAGTCAAATGGGGTACTCAAAGCTGGCACAGTCACGTGGGCTAAGTTGTAAAACATGATACCATTGGGGCTACCTAGATAAACATTGACCAAATTTTCAAATAAACAAAGAAAATGAGTATTTTTTTGTCACTGTGAATGTTTAACAATTTACAGCTATTATTGCACTTCAATAAAAAAACATTTTGACATATTAGAATAAAATGGGCTCAATTCAAGTTTTGAATGAAACAGAGTTGTTGAGCATATTCATAGGAGCAAAAGAGTCAAAGAAACCATACCTCTACAAGCAACCCTTTGCGAGTTACAGCCCCCAAAATCAAATCATGCAAAATCGCGAGTTGCATCACTCCACTTAGACTTTCACATTTAACTATTTAGCCCAAGCAACTATGCCTGTTTCGTGTAGCCAACTTGACTGTCCATGGAGTACTTGATGCTCAGGTGAGGGCAAGTTCCCACCCGGGTACTGAGATGTGAACAATAGTGAACACCAAAGTCCATGACTACGTGCAGAGCATCGGTCAAGGCAAACAACAGTGAGCCTTGACAACACAGAGCATGGGAATAGGCAGTATACCGATACATGTTAAAAACGGACTTTTGGAGGCAAATATCTCGCAAAAAGTCGCATATACAAGTACGGTACTTTTGACTTTTTTTCCCCCGTCTACGATTCTCGGGGGGTGCGAAACCTTTCATTTAGAGCTTGAATCTTACCATACGATGTTCAATTACATTGCTTTTGAATAAACCTCAGCTGATGAAATAATCTGAAACAAACTAAACATACCTTATGGCATAAATATGTTTTATTAAAAAATAAAATTAAATTAATTCTTACATTCATTATCCATTTTACAAATGTTTTTGTAGATTTTGATCTATGTCGAATTAGGTAATTATTTTTAAAACAAAACTTTAGGGTACTCGATACTTTCTTTAATACGTATAACTTGTCATTTTCCAGCCATGCTGTCTACTTGACGACATCTATATTTATGTTTCATTTTTTACAAAATACGATTTGTGAATATTCGAAACTATTAATATAACTGCGTTATTTTATTCAATTAATAATATAACAGCAATAACTTCAAATAAAAAATAAGTTATATTGTTTAATATGAAATTTTTAAAAATAATAAAATTTTCAAAATTACTGTATTTTATCCTATATTTTTATTGAAAGAAGGATAATTCATTAAAAACTGAAGTGAATGAATATTTCATTATTTAACAATATAACATTGTCGTTCGAGCGGATGTGTTACAATATTCGCCGTTTCCCGCATCTTTTTTTTCATTTCTGACTCTTTTCGCTCTTTGGGCATAAAGAAGTTTTTTAAGCAGGCTCATTATGAATTCGACCAGGCTCATACTGGGTGGCCGAGTTGGGGAGGGACCGGGCCCAACATTTATTGACGGACGTGTAAGACCACTCCCGAAAAATTCCTGGGGTTTTTTCCCATTTGAATTCGATCTCTGGTCATCCCCAGAGCCGTAGTTGCCACCCTAACCTAACCGCTTTTAATATTGTTTAAAATAATATCATTTTTATCTAGAATTATATATCCATAAAGAATAAAGCCCGTTCCGAAAAAAGATTCAAACCTGGCCTTTCTGATTGGAAAATTGGTATGTTTTATACCACAATTTGAGCTGAACGTTAACAAAAAATCATAATCAATAAATAAAAATACAAGTATTTGTGCCAGAACTTCGATTAGATTTCATCAAGTCGCAAATACTACGCTATTTGACAAATGACGGCTAAATTACTAAGGTGATTAAGGTTTCAGCCTACCTCTCTAAAACAAGCCCGTTGTTTAGAAAGTTTTATCGCTCATCTAACTAACGTACCTGTACATGTAATTTATCTTTGTTTTATCAATGTGAAATTAAAAAAAACTCGCTATTTTGTCAAAAAAATGCCTAAGAGAAAGCGTAAGAGTAGACTTAGTCAAGTAAATTCTAGATCTAAACAAATAAAAACAACTGAGACTCCTGAAAGGCTGCGAAGTCCGACTTAAGCAACATGGAGTAAGAATGGCTTTGTCAAGGGCTGCATCTCTACTCACCTTAATTCTTCAATTTCTAATTTCTCATAAAAATATTCCGTCATGCTTGACGGGAAAATTTCTAGCAGCTTCCACTATGGACCTGGTAAAACCAAGTCTGTGGAGTCGTAGATTTTTACACGTTTTACACATTTTCCCACTCCGACCAGGGGCAGACTTGTTAACAAAGTAGGCCCGAAAATTCTGACTTCATCACGTGACTTCAGAATATAAGCTTTCATAAATATACTGTAGTTCTAATAAAGATAGAACATAGAAACTTTTTTATTTCAAAGCTAAAATACTACTCTAAGTAATGACATAGTCAATATCTCTTCTCCCCTCGCGACAGGAATTTCGAAGATGTCCTTTATACACATGCTACTGTGCTAAATTTTGTTTCTTAAACTTTACTCATTCTAAAATATTAAACAATATTTCAGAACAGAATAAAGAAATTTAAATAAATTAGACGCCAACATATGCGCGCGCGCGAGCGAAGTTTCCTCTTTATTTGACATTTTTTGGGTTCGAGAGATCCCCAAACGTATAGATTTGCAAAAAACTCGGAGGGTCAAATGTGACACGATTCAAATACTTTTTCATTTTTTATATACATAACAAGTTCGAAAAATAAAAAGGAGTCGGAGTCGGGGGGATTTTTGATGACTCCGACTCCGACTCCACAGCCCTGGGTAAAACTCACGATGCTCACTGGAAGAGAGTTAAAAATTCTTTATTTTTTATTCAACAAAATTACAGGCGATGTCTTTTGACAATAATGGCCGCCTGCCTTATAACTAAAATATAAAAAAACCCACTAAAATACAACAATCACAAAAGGTAACAAAATTCAATGAAAATATAAAATTTTTTGCAGTGAAATTTATGACTAATACAGGTAACCCCCGTATAACACGGCACTTCTATAGCACGGATTCGCTCTAACACGGTTCGAGAATTGGTACCATCCCCCGTATAACACGGTACTTTTATAGCACGGATTCACACTGACACGGTTCGAGAATTAGGTACAACCCTCGTACAACATGAAATGTAATAAATTTTTACATACTTAAGTACTAATAGTTCACGAAAATTATTATTTTCGTGAACTATTAGTACTTAAGTATGTAAATTTTCTCTTCTCGCCTTCTGTCGATACACGTGGTCCTTCTCGAAACTTGTTTCAATGTTGCCAGATCGCGACGCTTCTGCTTCTGATGTTGCCGAATGTTTTTCCCTTATTCCATACTTGCTTTATTCTTCATAAGTGCTTAGCACCATATAAGGAAATTTATAAAGACCTTTTAACTAGAAGCAAGCAATCTAAAATTACATACATTTTGCAAAAGGTAAAGCATGGATCTGAAGATAATGCAGAAAAATGCTCAGAGGATAAGGATAACTTGCCAAAAAGAAAACGCTCTCGGTTAATTAATAGTGTTTTTAGTGATGACGAAGAAAACATTGTTTAATTTATATTAATATGTATCACTTAAAAAAATTTTAATGAAGATATTTATCTTAATTATGAAAATATACTAGCATGTTTTTTAATTTTTGGAACCTAACCCTCCTTTTCGTATTAGTTCTTTGTTTCGTATAACACGGATTCGCATAACACGGCAATTTTTTGGAACGTAACTACCGTGTTATACGGGGGTTACCTGTACTAATTAGTGAATGATAAGTGTGATAATTTATTGAGAAGAAAGAAAATCTTACCAATTCCATTGTTGAGTTTAATAAACGGGTAATTAAAATTGGAAAAACTACTCAGTTAAATTAGAAATTTTTATATTTTTGTGAATTCAATGTTTTATATATGTTCTTAATAATGTTTTTATTTGTATTTTATTTTAAGTTAATCTTGTAAAGATAAAAGTTATTATAGTCGTATTATAAGCATTGAAAAATGTCACACATAGCCAATTAGAATCAGTTTCAATTATTAAATGTGACTTATATTCTGCCAATCATACAAGTCTAAAATCGCACTCTAGCAAACCGGAATTTCTGGTTATTTCTCTTTCGCTTTAAAGATTTGATTGAGGATTTAAAGTCCTTAAAGCACGTCTTCATTTAAATTTGCATATACAGTACAGTATTTTGACAGTATATAGTGATGTAGCGGCCGGATGGGCGAGCGGTCAAGGTGGCAGCCTACCGCCTTGAGGGACCCGGGCTCGAATCCGAACGGGTCCCTCAAGTCCGTTCGGATATGTCGGGCCCCGTCCCTCACCACCCGGCAGCCCCATAGTGGGCCTAGCCGAAACCGTAATGGGCTTGCAAAAAGAGGCCCTCTTAGTGCCCACAGGGCGGAAAGAGTTAAAAAAGAAAAAAGTACATAGATATTAAATATTTTCCTAATTACTTTTTCGTTTATATCGTTGAGATGAAAATGATTTCTACTCCAAACGATAACAATAGGCGGCATACATATTCGGTTCTGTTATAGTGCAATTCTATTTTGCCTTTTAATATTCAATTTTTTAAAATGATTTTTAAATTAAAACTTTACATTCTGTAATTTTTTATCCCAAGTATCTGTCTCGCACATGACCAATCGACGCAATTATTTTAAAATTATTCTTTGTTTTTTAACAAAATGGTTCATTTTTTCGTTTATGAAGTGTTGTTTGCTTCACACTGCTTTTTATGTTGTAGACGTAATTAATAAAATAATGTTCCGTAACTCGTTCTATGCTTTATTCCTTAGTACAATTAAGGGAGTCGATCGGAAATACGCGTTACGTAATTTTGGGGTTGATTATGTGTAACAGGTTACGGAGCGTTACAGGAAGTGGATGGTAGTTGAATATAAAAATAGCGTTACATAATTTATGAACGATCTCATACAGCTAATGATTCCTGGAGACCCTTACAATTATTTAACTGTAAGGTAAACAAATACAATCCAAACTGAAACATAAAAGGAATTTATTAGACTATAATATACACATATTATAGTCTTAGTGACGTGACGTGATGGCGCCGCGCCTGTTAGTAGATTTAAATGGTGAATGAAGTACTGTACTGTACTGTACCGTGAAATACCGTGTAGGAAAATGGTATTTTATAAAAATATTTTAAAAATACTCTTTAAACTTTACTTTAAGAAAATATTAGTTAACTTCCCTGAAGATAATTTTTGGTAAGCAAAAAGCTTTTATTAATAGTTTATTAATTAAAATAAAAAATTAAAATTAAAATTTATAAAATATGAACGACAGGGAGCGCTTTATCGCAGCGTGTTCGTAAGTTCCGTTAAGCAGCATTTTCAATGTTGCCGAGTAACGCTATCTTTTCGCGGGCTTTAAAACGCCTTTTCTTATTACTACCATCAATAACATTATGGTAAACATTCCCATTGAATAGTGTAATATTTACTTTTTTCATTTTTAGTACTATAATTATTTTCGATGAAGTCCTTCCATTTTATTCAAGTAACTATCGAACTGTTGTTTAACGTCTTATGTGTGCTTCAGTTGGTGGACGTGGCTTTCGGCATAGGTGAAGTTATCTATGCCATCAATTGCGGTGGAGAAGTACACGTCGATGGTCATGGAATACATTATCGTCGTGATCCTTTGCATGGTAAAGTTGGGACTGCTTCTGATTATGGAAAACAGTTAATTATAAGCAGAGTTCCCAGATCAGATCAGATATTGTACCAGACTGAAAGATATCATCATATGACTTTCGGTTATGAGATACCTGTCAACAAAGATGGGGATTATGTGTTAATTTTGAAATTTTGTGAAGTTTATTTTTCTTCCCCTGGAATGAAGGTAATGTTTTTTTTTTTTTTTCAGATATTTCCTATAAGCTAGCCTGCTTCTAACTGTTAACATATAATATACATTATAAGTGATTTAAATTATAAAAACTTCAAAACTACTCAATGGTAACTGAATTTATTTCAGCTAACTTAACAGTAACCAGCTCTAAGTTAATGCAAACTATTTAAAATAAGAAAACCAATTTTTTTTAATTAAAAGAAAAAAAAACCTTAAAATTTGTTTTTGAATTAGACATATTTTATCAACACCTTACTTTTAATAAAATAAAATATAGATGATTGTATGGAATTCAGTTTACAAGCTTACAGTATCATATGTTTGCGGATTTTATTTACTTTTAAATTTATGAAAAATAATTTTTGATTTTTCAGGAATGATCTGTATAAAACAAATGTTTCTTTAGTAAATAATAATCAGTTTACAGCATTGTTTCTTCATTTTCATTTATCAATATTGCAGAAATACTTTTCTGTAATATTGATAAATAATATTTTCATTGATATATATGAAATAATAGGTTGAATATTAAGTTTGACTTTATTATTCATATACTCAGAAAATAATCTATTGCAATAATTCAGTTTTTATTTAATAATGTTTCAAGCCATATTATATTTCTTTTAACTATTTCTGTAAGAGAATGAGAAATAAAAACAATTGTTCAAAATGTAGGTTAAATAATTGAAAAGTATTGCCATGTCAGAAAAGTAAAAAATCAAGTAATGTATGTTAACTTTTTGCAGTATTTTTTTTTTATATAAAGAAAATTTATTACACTTATCTAAATATAAAAAGAGAGTCCATGAAAAAATAAAATTATTTTTGGAAGACTTATATAAGAAGCAATTAAGATAGTTGAGTGTGAATAGAAGCTTTTACCTTTGTGGGTATTATATCAATTCATGCTATTATTGAATTAATGAATGAATGAAGTTTTTTTATGGCAAAAAATTTTTAATTTAAAAAGTTTTTTATTAACCATAAGAATTCAAATGAAATTTGAAACTTAATTAATTTTAGTCCATGTTAATTTTAGAATAAATTTAGCTAAAACAATTAATTCAGTTCCTAAAATTGCTATACTATTCTTGACCTTTAAGAATTAATTTCAGTTTTATTGGAAATAATTTCCATTCTAATAAGATTATAGGTTAAAACACTTGCAATTTCAGAGAAATTAATTTTTAAAGTTTGAGTTTTCCATGTTTTAAAATGGCAAACTAGGATTATATTATTTTTAAAAAAATTCAAACATACCTCAACTTAGGTTAATAAAATGAGAATTTAACATGAGTAAGTAATATACAGATTTACTGAACAATATAATAGAAAAAAACGTTTTATTTAATTAATAATAAATTAACATACAAGTATAAACATAATCAAAATGCTGCTAATAGTGATCAAGAAATCACAGAAATATTATGGTGAAACATTTTTTGAAATGATTTTATATCTTATTATCAGATTAAAATTAAAGAACAAATGTTTGAATTAGTTGTGTTCTATGTGATAGATTTATTCTTTTATTTTTGACTGATACATAAATTATCTCAAAAAGATTTTAGCATATTATGATTTTTAAGTCTACCATATTAAACTGTAAAATCATCAGAAATTTTAAAAATTACTAAGTACAGAGTATAAAGTAGAAAAAACATAAGTTAATCTGATAAAAGGAATAAATTGGTGGTAACATAACTACTAAAAAATTTTTATACTTTCATAACAGAGAAATATTAACAAAGTTCTTTAAAATTTTAAAAATATAATTTTGTCAAGTAAATAGAAATGAATAAAATTGAATTAAACAGTATAATTTATATTAGGATGTGGACATAAGCAGCAGCTGTTAGTTTATTGATAGTAAACATGTAATAAATATGATATACTAGCTAGTTTTACATGTATATGATAATAATTCCTAGATGATATTCTTATCTCTGCTTATGAGTAGGAAAAAGAATAATATATAGGAATTTCTATTTTCTAATTATAATTCCTATGTAGCTTCATTCTTATTTGTGGCAATTTGACAGTTTGAAGGTTTCACATTGTTTTGCAATGCCCTCTACATATATATAGTTATTTTTTAATAGTTCTTTATATAAATAATATTAGTTTCATATATAGATGGTGCAGAAATATTTTACTTTTTTGAGATTTTAGATTTTTTTGGTAATGTACTGGATATTGTCTATCAATATTGTTTTGTTTTAAAAAAAAAATCCTTATGGCAGCTGCTATTTCGTTGTGAATGTGTCTCTTTAATCCGATCAATTCCGTTCGGTACACTATCATATACAGCTTTCAGGTTAGGTACTTGTTTTATTGGTTTGTCATATGCATTTCGGACTTATTTGTATTTTAAGTCCCTCTTCAGTTCAAAAATACAAACTCAGGTTCTGTTTTTTAAAAAACCTTGGTGTATAACTGGTAACGTTGGAAAGAGTTTAAAAAATATAGCCATTTAAAAACACTTCAAATACATATTCACATTAATACGGGTGAACTTTTTACAATTGTTCTTAAAAACTTTTATAATTACAACCTTTAAAACAATGTGTATGTTCTACAATGAAATGTTGCAGCAATAATGAACTTTTTACAAGTTCATTATTGCTAATAACACGTGGTATATTACCATTAACACATTCTCAAGAGAATACATCTACACTTTTACAATATGTTTCCTTTATTTTATGTCACAAGACAATACAAACCTTTTTTGAATAATATATTTAGTTTTATATCTTTTTTATATTTATAGTTACTTGCTATTCCTTTATATGGGTTTTTTTTTATATTTATACAAGTTACCTGCGTCTACAATATTTAAGCATTTAATTCTAAGAGAGAGTGAGACCAATGTAGCTTTATTGTATTAGATGAGAAATATGTTTATGTCCTAATGTAGATTATATTTTTATTTGCTATATATCTTTTCTTTTCAAAACATTTAAAATAAAGAGAAATACATCCAGGTAATCCTGGATATATAACTCTTTCCATCCACATTGTACTATGTTCTAGCCACGTAACAATCACCATCTGTATCTTGCATTTCTTGAGTAGCAAATCAGATAAATATAAAAACTATGTAAAGCAACTAGCAACTAGTGCATCTAAAATTTTTAATACAGAAACACTTTTGGAATATAATTCTACTGTTAATTTACTTTAAGCTTAAAGAAATGAAGATAAATGTATCTTCACTTCTTTATTCTGTTAACTTCATAAATGTAGTTAACAGGCTAACTGATTTGCCTTTCTTCCAGATTTATCAAATTGATCTTTTAATGCAATTATGAATATGAACATCCAGACAAGAAGCAACAATCATGAAGTGTCTTCAAACTTTCAGTTTTTCTGTATAAAACTTCTAGACTCTGGTATAAGTTATATTTTGAATTTATTTAGTGTACTAATTGCACTTTGCTATAACAAAGATATCAGATAATAATTCAGACTAGAGTTTCTCAAACTTTTTCCTACTGTTTTCAGAGCTTAAAATTTTTGTGCCAGTCTTTCTAAATTCACAATTATTTTCCAATTATTATTATAGCAAGAATAATTAAAAATAATAATATATTATATAATAATGTCATATTAAATGATTGTAGTTTTCCAAACAAAGTATATAATCCAACCCTGTTTATATGTTTCTCAATAGTTGTTTTTCACAGTTATACAAGGTCTGTTCAAAAAGTATCAGACCTTTTTTTTCCGCGTAAACCAATGATGCGCAGGAGGCCTCTTTCGGTGGAGTTGTAAAGGGGACAGTCATACACAGCCCTGAATTTTTTCCCGCCTGCAGGAAGCGTCAATCGTTGGCAATCAGCCTATGAGTGAGGTCATGTAGCGTGCTCTCGTCGGATTCCACTAAGCTGGAAAATGACTGAACAACGTGAGCAGCAATATTACATCAAATTTTGCCAAAAACCTTGGCGATACCCGAGTGTAAACCATTCGCAAGATTCAGCAGGCTTTCGGGGACGATCCTCGAGGCCAAAAAAAGCGTGGCAGGTCCGCAGCGATATCAAAGGTCATGTTGACAGTTTTTTCGACTCTCGTGGGGTGGTGTGTCGTGAGTACGCACCACAAGGCCAAACCATCGCAAAGGAGTACTACCAGGAGGTCCTTTGTCATCTTTCCGATACAGTGTGACGCAAACGACCGGATCTGTGGTCGTTTGCGTCACACTGGCAGCTCCATCGTGATAATGCATCCGCCCATTCTGTGCATCTGATTCGGGCTTTCGTCGCCAAACACAATACTCCTGTGGTTCGTCACGCTCCGTACTCTCTCCACATGGCTTCGTGTGACCTTTGGCTATTTCCCAAGCTGAAAATGCCGCTAAAAGGAACCCGAATTTAGCCGAGAGAAGACATCGTACAGAATGCGACGGACCGGCTGATGGCCATTCCTAAAGATGCGTTCCAGCAGTTTCCAGCAATGGCAGGAATGCTGGGAAAAGTGTATACACTACCAAGGAGACTACTTTGAAGGGGATTAGGGTTTTGTACCTCAAAGTCAATAAATTAATTTTTGCCGACCAAAGGTCTGATACTTTTTGAACAGACCTTGTATGTTAGAAATTTTCCATATCTTCTTTCTCAATTATAAAACATTTCAGTTATATTTTTGGTACTCTACAACACTTTTCTCTCACATAAGCTTTATTCACTTTCAAAAGAAAATACTTTTTTAAAACAATTACTTAAAAAAGTGAAACAGCAATTATATATTATTCACTTATGGTTAGTTAACACTGACAGTGAATTGCCAGCATATGCAAAAAGCTGAGCAAATAATACATAGTGTGATGCTGTTTGTGATGAATTTTCTGTTTAGAAAATCACTTGCCCCGTCCATGTTGAAAATTTTCACTTTTTACTTTTCCAGTATGAACCAATTTCACTATGTGAGCAAAACTTGCTTTCTAAGTTTCTCATTTGTTTTCACTATTTGTTGTCAGTGTGAACTAA